TATATCTGCAATCGATTTGACTTCCAAGCAAGGGTCTTGCATACAATTGTTCCTTAGCGCATTAGCCGTGCGCCTGCGAGCCACAATTTTCTTGGGTGTAGAACTGAAGGCAGAATTTGTGAAACAAGTTTTTGTATCCGTAGAAATTTCCGCGACGGATCCCAAATATCCTTCAGATTGTCTTTTGCGCTTCAGGGTAGGCAAGTCCGTTAAAACGCCGGTAAGCTGATTTTCTTTAGTTTTTGTCATTTTTTGTAGAAAAATTCACAAAAAGAAAACACCTCAAAAAGGACACGGGTCACTAATTTTTCTATTCAACGGCCATTTTGGATACAAACATCTGCCGCCAAACAAAATTTTCAAGTCGTACACTCTGTAGTTTCTGCCTCCTGTTCGTACTGTACTTTGATAAAATACAACTCTGTTTAGTAAACAGCTGTTTTTGTTGTTTCATAACCTAACCGCATTTGGTCTGTATAAAAATTTTGAAAATTGGATTTTATAAATGGATTTAACAAAAATGTTGCAGCCAGCCGCTCTAATAACACACACAGTACGTGCCTATGGCAAACACAATAAAAAATATTTATACAAGGACGGACAGAAATATGGCAAAGTGATATACTACCCAATGTAAGTACGCACTCATATAAATGACTGACGTTTTGAGATTGTTCATTTTTTCTAAATTTATTAGGACACCTGACCATGAAGATCCACCAGTTCAACCAGCGAAGTTATTCCGTGTACAACGTATTAAACCTGTCAAGGGTAATCCTTTTTGGGAGAAACGTATTCTGAAAGACCTAGGTCTCGATGGTAAACAAAGTGATTTTACTGTAGTAAAAAATATACCAGACGTCAATGCATTACTTTGGAAAATAAAGCACTTGATCAAAGTGACACCAATAACATTCCCGTATGGTGAGCCGACTGATAATGACATCAAATATACGGTTCTTAAGGAAAATGGTGAATGCATCGTTACTAAAGAAATCGGTCCTGTAGTGCAACGATTAGAAGCTGCTGAAGCATTCGAATCTGACCCAAAACGCTTAGACACTGATTTGTTAAAACGTGATGCACGTATGAAATGGCTCAACCCATGGTAATACGAAATATACACGTATATTTAGTATTTCGTGTGACTTTTATAAGAAATAAATGCATTAAAAATGATATATAAATCCCTGGCTTTCAATTGATCCACACTTCTGTTGCTACTTTCTTTTCTATTGTTTTACAACCCGAGGTCGCAAAAAGTCCGTGTTCCCGATCATAAGTAATCACATCTTGAAGTAATGACCTACATATGATGAAAGAAAAAAAAATATTTGAGAATTTTTAAATATACAAACATTAATTTGATCGTACTCTATCACGCCTTCCTTCGGATCTCGGCCCCATTTTTTAAACTCTGCGGCTATGCATTTGAGAACATGCTGCTTTTCGAGCGGCAAGAATGGTAAATAGTGATCAATTACGTGTTTTTCAATTAAACCAGCTTTCTTTAACCCCCCTTCTATGTTATAAGACACCTTCTCTAGTACCTGCTCAAAAGCACTGAGTTTGATGTTTTCACGCATTGCACCATTTTTTAGCATTTTTGCCAGTTGATGTGAAATTTGTACACCAGCCGTATTGGAAATGAAAATAAAAATAGCCTTAGAGCCACTCAAATTATCTGGTAGTCCATTGTAATCTACTAGCGATGTTAACGATTCAAAAACTCCTTGCGGCATTTTATCTACTTCATCAAAAATAAACAAAGACAATGGACAATCGTTAATGCCTTTTGTGACGTCAGAGTAAATGCGGTACTATTTGGTATGATAAAGAAAACTAAATGGAAATGAAATGCACTTTTGATTTGAGTTAATATTTACTCACGTTATACTTATTTACATCATTATCTATGGAAAAATCCAACCTTCCTCTATACTTGTGAATAAATCTGCTGTTCACACCTTTTTCGTACAATGCCTCTGCGATCATATCAGCCACATAATTTTTCCCTGTGCCCGGGGTGCCATGAAAACTCATCACCAGTGGTTTGCGTGAAGAACTGTGAGGATTTATATGAGCTTCTAGCGCCGAAATTAACTGCTGTATGACGATATGCTGTCCATACAGCTTCTCCGTCAGTGTTCTTCTCAGCTCTAAAAAAAAAAAAAAAAACAATAAATTCTACAATGCCTATTACTAATTGATTACCTCCAATATCCCCCTTAATACTACGCTCATTGCAGCATTCTGACCAACGGCAATAAGTTTGATCTTTAAGTA